TGGGAAAAAGGACTAAAGATAAACAGAAATAGAAACCCCCTCAAGTTATTTCTGAAGTGCTTTGGGGAGATACGGTGACAAGACACATTCAGAGCCCACTGCAATGTCTCTTTAGGTGCCTAGAAGCTCTCAAAAATGTACCCCTCTGCAGACAATTTGCCTGCCACCTTCCAGTTGCCACTGGGAATGAGATGATAGCCAGTGGTAGCACCTGTGTTAACAGCCTCTCTTTTCTTTTTATTCCTTTGATGTTAAAAGTAGCTCACTTTCTTGGAAGGAGCAGGAGAGGTTCCCACAGATCTTTTCCCTGAGTGCTCACAGTAATAGAAAACTAGATTCAATGTCACAGGTCTAAAACACCTTTATTTAGAGCTGTTGAGGGGTTAGATTCCCTGTTTATTTGCACTTTGTTTTGGAATGGAGGGATGTGTGGTATTTGCTGCATGAGGGACGTTGTCAGGAGTAAAACGTGGGGGGGAGTCCTGCCTGTGGCAGGGTATCTGCAGCTTCTGCAGGCTCCTTGTCTTTGATGTCTTGCATGTCTCGAGGGTGAACGTGCATGTGTGCTTCCTCGCTGTCTCTCTCCCCCTTCCCTGTGATGCTTCAAACCAGACACTTAGTTGACGTTGTACCATGGCACTTAGCAACACACATGCTGTAATGCTGTTATTTTTCACCAGCCAGCTGTTCCACTTTATACAACACTTAAGTAACAATTTCACAGCCGTTACCAGCCTGCAGTAATGACATGGGCTGAAAGCTCAGCGCGAACTGGTTGTAAACTACGAAAACTGAGAAAGGCTAAACCAGACACTTTGATAAATGAGAAAGGACATTGCCTGCATTTTAATTGGTCAAGTTGAAGCCTCTTCTATCACTAGAGGAAATGTAGTGTTTAGTGGGTCATGAGATAGAATTGGGAATCACTGTCTTTATGCACTTAGGAAATATTTTCTTGATTTCAGGTGTGATGTATCGATTCTGGGCATTTCTTTTATGGGTTTGTTGTTTTTTTTTTTTCTTTCTCCTTTACCTTGAGTTGTACCCTGTCAGCATTGACGGGTTTTCAGGGATTGAGGACTCCCAGGGGCTTTGTTTGCCCATGATTGATTTGGTGCAAGGGGTGAGCTACTTATGAGGCTCAGTAACCAATGTTCTGCGCTGTAAGCAGTGATCCAGAGGTAACACTGGAGAGCCTGGAGAAACACCAACGGAAGTGTTTAGTTGGATAGGTTCCTTGTTTGAAAAAAAAAAAACACAAACGACCCACAACAAACCAAACAAAATGAACCAAAACCAACCATGACTGAAATGTTTAATAATTCTTTTTTTCTCCTTTCCAAAGTAGAAGCTCCCCAAAGTGAAGTGATGGGCACAAAATAATCAACCAACTTTACTTTCTGCTGCCCAGCCACAGTGCTTTAAACAGAAGTACAATCTGTTGTGCTTAGACTACTGTTAACTGTGAGTAACTATATGAAAAAGTTTTGTCAGACACCTTTTTGCATATTGCAGTTGAGAAATCTTAGAAGGCTGAACTGTGGCTGAACCAAGAGGCTGTCTCGTGAGCACTCTCAAGAGCAGCTGAAGCGTTGAAGACCCAGCTTGCCCTGTCACAGCCAGGCAATTCAATGAAGCTGATTTGCAAGAAAGTAATTGAGCCCTGACAGCAGTCATAGTGTTTTCACCTCAGGTATCTTCAGTTTTATCTGTTGACAAATAACATAGCTTCAGTTATTATTAACCCTGTTTCATCCAGGTCATTCTTTGGTAATTGCAAAGTGCTACTGCCATTGTAAATTGGGTGAATAAAATTCTGCAGCTCCCCAACAGCAGCAAACATGGCATCGAGACACACTAGAGGAAAAAGCGTTTCCTGGGATAGTGAAATTGAAGCTTTTGTGCTAATTATGAAAGTATATTTAACTGTCTCTTCAAAAAGAATTATTAGCTTCTAATTCTGTTGAAAACAACAATCTTGTGTTATTGTTTTCAGTAAAATTAGGGGTTTGGGGCTTTTAATAAATGACTAAATTAGACCTTATGAAAAACTCTTCTAAGAAATCCTGATCCATAGACTGCAATTACCCCAAGGAGCGTACACATTTGTTTTGAAAAATTAGAAATCGGTGCAGGATGGTAGTTTGTCATTTAATGAAGTGTTTGTCAAAGATAAACAAACTGAGCTTGTCTTACTGGTTTTGTGTCCATTTTTCTGGTTTACCTCATCACTCTGTCGTTTAAAGGAATCCAGATAGAAAAATAAGAGGATGCTATCAGTTATTTGTCTCTGTATCCTTATTTTAATCTGGTTTGTAATGCTTTTTAAAATATAAATGAGGAATTTCCTCGATTTTTGGTGTGTGGCTGTGTACTTAGCAGAACTGAGACCCTGCACGGCTTTTTCGATTGCAGTAAAGCTACTGCATATGTGCCAGCAGAGCGAGGTAGAATATGCAATACTCTAAGGCTGCTTTTTTCTTGATTCCCTACCAGTTTTGTTAATAAAACATATAAAACCATAGCTGTTGTATAGTCAATATAATCTGTTATGTTTTTTTAAGTAGCAATTGTAACACAGTAATTGCTCTTAACCGCCGGTCATGGAAAATGGTTGCTCTTATGTAAGGTTACCGACTGTTTGGGTTTCCAGGACATGTATTCCGTGCTGTGTCCGTCCCAGTCCTCCCCGCCCCGCTCCCCCCCCCGCAATGTTGTCCAGGAGTATTCAAAGGCTTAGTATCTTTGTCCGGCACTTGCAAATATCTCTCGGCTTGCGTCCCAGGGAGGCTCCATGACACGTAGAAATCTTAGATATACTCCTTGGCGTGTGCGCGCTGGGGCAGCAGTCGGTTACCGATCAGCTGTACTGCCTGCTGCGCCGGCGGTTTACCACACCTCCACGGCAAACCCGAGGGGGAACCCTACAGCACGAGCTCAAGGCTTGTGTGGCTTTGTGACATGGAACCAGCCACGCCACAGGCTGTGAGTGATTCAGTCACTCTCATGTGCTAGAGTGCGTAAGCACAGTGGCTTGGCTCCATCGGGACAGTTGCCTTTTCAGATACATAAGCTCAGCTGGGTGGCCAAAATCCCACACCAGCACCTTCTCGCCAGCTGTGCTTAATGACTGGAGAGACAGCAAGCGCATCAGAGAGCTAGAAGGGTGGGTATGAGTTTCTTAATCATTGCCAGCTTAACTTGGAAAGATCTGAGCTGCCCTCCTTTCCCTGTGACATGGGAATAATTTTTCTATCATTTAGTGGACACCCGGCAGTTTTCCTTTCTTGAAGTGGAACAGGAAGACAGGAGCAGATGCTGGTCACTAGGAATAGCTCAAGACAGACGCTGAAAAACGTTTCCTCCAGGTTGTCTGGTCTTTTCCTCTCTCCGTCTCTCTAAGATGCCAGGAATTCAGTTTAATTTCCACTCTTCCTCGACCGTTGATCTCTTGTCCTGAGGGATGTTTGTGATCTAGGAGCAGTAACTGTGCCTGCTTAAAATACATTTTGTGAAATTAGCATAGAAGAACATGAGCACAAATCGTCAGCCTTCGTGTATTAATTCTTCCAGGTGTGCTAAGGAAATTACAGCCACTGCTATTGAGTTAGTGGTAGAAGAAATGATATATAACCCTTTTTGGTCTGAGACGGTTGAAGAAATCCTTTGGCTTTTTATTCTGAAAACATCTGTGTGGATGTTGTCCTTCAGATTTCACAAGTAATTTCACGCAGAGGCAGAGATGATAGTGCTTGTTTTACTGACATTAGCATCTCTGCATGGCAGCAGCTGTTTATACAAAAAAATCACATACCTTTTTGGGTTTTTTTGCCCAGAATTGAGAACTTGCCATAACACTGAATTGATTTTGTGTATGAGATTTTAAGCAAATATAATTAAACTGTCATTTCCTGACAGCTCATATATGAGGCTGTTTGACCACAATGGACTTTTTGTTTTTGTAAACACATTCAGAAACCAGAAGTTAACAATACCAGAAACTCCTAATTCAGTGAATTGGCCAACGTTTACTCCAGCTGTGGGGTAATTCAATAGTGCCTTAAGGTACATATTTAGATATTTAGTTAAAGAAAGGGAGAGAAAGAATTGGGGATTACACCACCTGCTAAGAGGAAGCAAAACAGATATTAAAAAAAAAATATATATAGTTCATCTTCTCCACTGGTTATTCAGAACCAGAAATATGATGCTAACACGTGAGAACCAGAAAGTACTTTTCAGGAGGAGCCAGTCCAGTTGTCATGACTGTAACATTTTGTCATACAGCTTTTCCTATTGTTCAACCTGATATGTGGAAACAGACTTCCCAAGAAACCACTCATTTTTGGAAAATAAGAATTATTTCTAAGTATTTTTAGGATCCAAGCTGATAGAACAGTTAAACCCAACAGTATTAAAAGAAAATGAAGAAATGTTGTGGTCTCAGAAAGACAATGAAAATTGGAGCAAAGATATGAAATGTTACCTTTGAGTAATCCGGGGTGGGTGGGGTGGGAGAAGAAAAAGTAGATTTTGCTTGTAATATATTTTGCTTGTAAGACCTAGCGAAGGTTCTCAGCTCCTCACTCCAGATATAAGCCCCAGCAACAACCTGACTTCTTTTTGCGATGAAAATTCTACTTGCCAATACGATAACTTTTGGTCAAAAGACAGCCTTAGCACACTTGGTGGTGTCCACAGTGTGGATAATGGAAGAGCAGGAGTGAGGAGCGTGCTCCAGAACATATCTACTCTGCAATTTAGCTATGACTAAAGCTGTAATTACCATTAGTTCAATAAGATTTCTATCTTGTTATAATTTCTTCAAAATATGGAATTCTTAATTAATTCTCTCATCTCTTTTCCTTGTAATACTGTCAAACTCTAATGAGCGGTAGCATTTTCTGTGGGGCAGTAATGAGAAAATAATGAAGAAATGAGTAACAGATCAAGCTGACATTTTGTATCTAATTGGTAAAATATCCTCTTGTTCCTCTTAGGGCAAATGTGAAGAAAGGTGTGAACATTTTCAGTGTGAGAGCTAGCAGCCCCTACTTGTGGGACATCAGAGAGAGCATGGATTATACTGGGAAATACGCACCAGCTGTTATTGTTTGCCAGAGGAAATCTGCTGCCTCTGAAAACAGGTAGGTCATTTCCAGCAGTCTATCTTTTAATAACTGATGGTTGTTTTTCCTTTTCGAAGCATTTTGCTATGATTTTAAGAAGTTTTATTATAGTACATGATAAAAATGCTTTTGGAAATGCTGTGGCTGTCTTTGTTTTGTGGTGCATGGCTAATTCTACCACATGCACTTTGAGCAAAATGTAACTGAATCCTAATACTCAAAGGAAGTTAAAACTAGCAGGAAATATTGTTTTCAGATAGTATTTAGAGGAACGTGTTTCATATCTTAGAATTCAGTTGTGACTAGTTTAATCTCTTCAAATTATTTGCTGCCACGCATTCCAGCAGGGGGTAATTGGAGGGCTGTTTGTGGTGGGGTTTTTTGGTTTGTGGTTTTGGGGTTTTTTATGTTGCTTTGGGGTTTCTTGTTTGGTCTGCTCCCGCCTCCCCACTCCCCCCC